ATTAAATTATGAATTAATATCTTCAGTTCCTTATCCCCCCTCCCCCTTTGTTCCCTCCCCCTTTGTTCCCAACAGAAAAAAAAACCCGCCTCCCCTTTGACAATAACGGTCGCCCCCAGCGGTACAAGCGTTATACCGCTAGGGGCGACAATAGTGGTCGCCCCCAGCGGTACGCGCGTTAATGTATACCGCTAGGGGCGTCAAGAATGGTCACCCCTAGCGGAAGTTCCCCTGGGGGCGATCAATATCGGTCGCCCCCAGCGGTATACCGCTAGGGGCGACGATAATGGTCGCCCCCAGCGGTACGCGCGTTAATATATACTGCTAGAGGCGACAAAGGACGCCCCCAGCGGTACAAGCGTTATACCGCTAGGGGCGACAATAGTGGTCGCCCCCAGCGGTACGCGCGTTAATATATACCGCTAGGGGCGACAAGAAAGGTCGCCCCTAGCGGAAGTTCCTCTGGGGGCGACAATATCGGTCGCCCCCAGCGGTATACCGCTAGGGGCGACAATAGTGGTCGCCCCCAGCGGTACGCGCGTTAATATATACCGCTAGAGGCGACAAAGGGCGCCCCCCAGCGGTACAAGCGTTATACCGCTAGGGGCGACAATAGTGGTCGCCTCTAGCGGAATTTCCTGTAGGGGCGACCGTTATTGGTCGCCCCTAGCCCAATTGGCTAAATTATAAATAAGCCTTTGTATGACGCGCCTGTTTTGTTCCGTTAAAGTTGACTTCTATTCGGATCGCATTTTCTCGCTGACCTCATGCTATTGTTTTAGTTGAAGACCCATTCAACTTATTCTTAAGTTTTCTTTATAAAATATACTTGGAAATAAGATCAGGCGGCTAGCACGCACTGAGAAATAAAATCATATATAGCGCCATGGCGCTAACCAACGGCAAATGCGAGAATGAAATATATATAGCGCCACCTACGTTGAAATGAGGAAAGTTTGGGCAAAATTTTTCCAAAAAACTTTCCTCGACTTTTTAAATACGGCGAATTTTTGCATTTTGAAACTACAGTTGGATTCAGTATGTAATTTCCTCTTCAAAAAGTAACATTATGTGGCATAAAGTGTTGTCTAAGTGCTGTATTTCGTGATTTTCCGCTTCAATATTCCCCATTCAGAGGCACTCAAGGGTGAAAAAAGATCGCGGCGTTTAATCCTTTCGCCTCAATGGAAACATTTTATTGTTAACGCCAGATTCAACAAAAGAAATTAACAAAAGAAATGGCCTTCCCTGCATCCGCTGAATACGTGTGTTTCGTGTAGAAAACACGTATTGAACCTGTTGAGTGCGTAGACTTTCACGATTATAATTCAGTTTACACCCTCTACCCTTTTGCAATCAAATTCTGATCAAGTGAATCAGTTTTTATTTACTGAAATCTCTGAAACAAACTCGTGTTAACGTAATCAGACTGTATGTTACGTCTAAGCGTACATATGGGCAACGTGTAAAGCTGCAGAAGCCTATCTCTTACAGTTATCATTATGCACAACATCGAATTAAATAAGGATGGGTTTTGCTTGAGTGGTACGGCACTGGATTCCCAAGCCGGCGACCGAGGTTCGATTCCCGGCTATAACACTCATTTTTCTTTCTTAAAAAAAGAACCAACACATTTAAATTTTGAAATTGTCTAGGGATACCTGATTTATTTTGCTCCCGAAATCAAAGAGGTTTTTTTTGGGGGGGGGGGGGTCTTATTACGACTCTCTGAATGGGAGAGAAATGTTGGGCAAAGACATCAACAGACCAAAAGTTATCAAAGTACATGTCATCAAACCCAAAAGAACACTTGTTTTCATTGCCGATTTAAAGCAACATACATTCTGTTCATAGATCTATATTGATCTATCGAACAGGACAATAACTTAACATAAACGGGACTTACATGTATGAAAGCAGGTTTTGAAAAGGAACATTCAAGAAAGTTAGACATTCAAACCTGTTTTTCTTTTTTTAGAGTACTGACATTTTATTTTCTCAATAAATAACATATGATATATATTTATATAACACAAATCCAAAAAAATTCCAAATGGAATGCTTTACACGTGAATACAATAAAGAACACTTATAATTTACCTTTGTCATTTTCTAGTTTAGTTTACCACATTTTCATCAGTACACCCGCTCCCATTTGTGTTAAAATCTATTCTGTGCATATCTAATTCTAGCACTTTTAAGCAAAAGTATTGTGAGTTGATCTAAATGTGACATTTCTACAAAGTACCATTTCAAAAAACACAAAAACTGATGTTACTCGACTTCAATAGTACTACAATTCTTGTTGTGCATAAGTTCTTAATGGCAAATTAAATCCTTCCTTTCAATAAAGTCAAATTACAAAGTACAACTTCAAAAACTGATGTTACTCGACTTCAATAATACTACAATTCTTGCTGTGCATAAGTTCTTAATGGCAAATTAATTCCGTCCTTTCAATAAAATTGAATTTCATATAAGAATCACTTCTTTTTGTTTAACTTGTACTGGAATATCAAGGTGAGGATATATTTCATCTCTTCTTACGACAAAACTATTATTTGAATACATGGCAATGCAATACCGTGTCTTTGTAACATTTTTTTTCATAATAAATATCTTATTTACAAATGATACTGTTCATGGACAAGACAACACAATGATTAATAAGCGCAGTATTAACCCTAACTCCCTACTGTCTTTTGCAAACTGTACCAAGTCAGCCAAAATCCATCACTGACCCTGCTTCACATAATGCTTCAGGACCAAATCCGCTGAAATCCACCACAAGACCACCACTGCTATATAGGTGGATTTTGATGGACTTTGTACAGATGGTTTGTATGCCAAAATCCACTCGAAGCGGGGATGGATTTTGATGGATTTGGGAAGGCTAGGGTTAAGACATTGATTTTAAAAGACCAAGTTTGAGGACAAAAATCACTTGTGGTAAAATTCATTGTAGTCAAAATATGTTCAACTTTTTCAAATTTGCAGCACAAACAGTCTTGAGTTATAAACTAGGGGGGTGCATTTACGGGTAGCACGGAAACCGGGTAACCGATTGAAAAAAACATGGGTACTCGGGTATCCGTTAAGTAACCCAGCCCCAAAATTCAAATCTTGGAAGTTGCTGTTCAGTTAAGGTGCATCAATGCAGCAAGATACAGGTGTGTACAGTGAGCATATCTTTACAGTGTAAAGTGCAACGTTTGAGAGCATCATAAACTAATTTTTTGTTTTCCAGAGTAGCCTGGTTTTTATTTTGAAAATTCCCCACAAATGACATTCGAAACCGTTCTTTTTTATTGTCTGAGAAGCTACTAAGTAATTTGTAAAGTTGGTTACTGGTATATGATCCCATAATCTGGAACCAGTTCCTAACATCAATGTCGGGTACTCGGGTACCTGATTCTCATGCACAGCCCTGTTACAAAAAATGTTAAATTATATTTGCACTGTGCGAACTTGCTTTTTGCATACGCAAAGCTGACAGCTACAAGCCTCATTACATGTCTCCTACATTTTAAAATGGTACCATTACCTTTTTCCCCTTTTCTTTTTGCGAACAAAACTTTGTGATGAATACCAAAGTTAACACCGAATTCCCCGAAAGTTGAAAGATACTTCAGAATGAAATAAATGTATAAAAAAGGTACTTTAGCATTTTTTTATTATTAATTTAATGGCATGAAGAACAATGAGAAGTGAAAAGTGTATTAGATGCTTTCATCTCCTGTCTCCAATCTCAGAAAGTTGTCACCTTATTTCAGGATGTAACCTTCAGAGCTGCATACCTGAGGCGTGACATTTTTTACATAAATCGTCAAGTCCACAGAAGCCGATCACAAGTCAATTACGACTCAACCACAATTCATCCAGTCCCAATAGAAGTCATAAGCTATTCAAATTAACTCTGACTAAAGCCATTCTCTTTGTTGTTCATCTACTGTTAGTTGTAGCCGGACCTGTGAATTGACTTGCCAATAACTTGTGACTGGGCTTGTGATGGACTTGTGGTGGACTTGTGATGGACTTGTGATGGACTTGTGATGGACTTGTGATGGGGTTGTGATGGACTTGTGATGGGCTTGTGATGGGCTTGTGATGGACTTGTGATGGGCTTGTGATGGACTTGTGATGGGCTTGTGATGGGCTTGTGATGGACTTGTGATGGGCTTGTGATGGGGTTGTGATGGGCTTGTGATGGACTTGTGATGGACTTGTGATGGACTTGTGATGGACTTGTGGTGGACTTGTGATGGACTTGTGATGGACTTGTGATGGGCTTGTGATGGACTTGTGATGGACTTGTGATGGACTTGTGATGGGCTTGTGATGGACTTGTGATGGACTTGTGATGAGCTTGGATGGACTTGTGATGAGCTTGGATGGACTTGTGATGGACTTGTGATGGGCTTGTGACTTGTGATGGACTTGTGATGGATTTGTGATGGGCTTGTGATGGGCTTGTGATGGACTTGTGATGGACTTGTGATGGGCTTGTGATGGGCTTGTGGTGGCCTTGTGATGGGCTTGTGATGGGCTTGTGGTGGCCTTGTGATGGACTTGTGATGGACTTGTGATGGACTTGTGATGGGCTTGTGATGGACTTGTGATGGACTTGTGATGAGCTTGGATGGACTTGTGATGAGCTTGGATGGACTTGTGATGGACTTGTGATGGGCTTGTGACTTGTGATGGACTTGTGATGGATTTGTGATGGGCTTGTGATGGGCTTGTGATGGACTTGTGATGGACTTGTGATGGGCTTGTGATGGGCTTGTGGTGGACTTGTGATGGGCTTGTGATGGACTTGTGATGGACTTGTGATGAGCTTGGATGGACTTGTGATGAGCTTGGATGGACTTGTGATGGACTTGTGATGGGCTTGTGACTTGTGATGGACTTGTGATGGATTTGTGATGGGCTTGTGACTTGTGATGGACTTGTGATGGATTTGTGATGGGCTTGTGATGGGCTTGTGATGGACTTGTGATGGACTTGTGATGGGCTTGTGATGGGCTTGTGGTGGCTTTGTGATGGGCTTGTGATGGACTCAATTCCAACACTGCATCCATTTGTTCATGTAGCCGGTGAGATGAGCTCCTCCTCCGCCTCCACCACTGCATCCACTTCTTCTCCCGCAGCATCGTCATCTTCATCATCGTCGTCAAACCGGTTAGCGGAGTCGTAATTGATGGTGGTGCGCAACAGATCCACCTCAATGGGGAATATCTCGGCTTCCTTCATCTGTTGATGGCAGTCTTGCAGATAGTTGGCCATGGCAGAGACAAGCCTTTGCAGCTGGAAGACTATGTCTTGCACTGGAAGGCAAACAAGTGAATTGGTGTAAGTATAAATCATCAGATGGAAATAAGGTTGTTTTTTCCCCCTAGAAATTTCTCAAAACCTCCAAAAAACTAACACCAGATTTAACCGGCCAGCTGACCCTAGCAGGCTTGGTGGGTGAGTGGTATGACCTCAGTGCTAGTTTAGCAGGAGGTTGTGAGCCCAAGTCGGACTTGAGTAAGCTTGAGGAAGCTTGTGAACATGTTCTCTCAAGCCCCTCGGACAGCACTTACAACACATTGATTAACCCTAACCTTCCCAAATCCTCAAAAATCCTCTTTGCAAAATGTACGATATTGCAGGGCTGAGGCTATATGGCAATAAGTTGTGGCTGATTTTGGAGGATGCACTGTGTCAAGGTCTTGGGCCGGACTTTGTGTTGTTTATGCTCAGCCGTGCCTAAATTGAGGCCTACATTATACTTGAAATCCTCCGCACTGCTCCAGGATGTCACTGGCTCCGTCTCAACATATTGACAGTGATTGCTGGAGGATTTTGCAGGATTGAGGCAGTGGCCACCCCTACCAAGGACCACATTCAAGAAAATAACAGAGGATTTTGCAGGATTGAGGCTGTATGCAATTTTTACAAGGAGGCAGTTGGAGGATTTTGTAGGATCGAGGTTGCATCCTAGTAAAAATGCCTAGGGAGTTAGGGTTTATAGGAAACTAATCTGGGAAGGGCAAAACCCAATGTTGAAACTAAAACCGCCTTGGCAGTTACTTAAGAACCCTGGGTAGTGTCATCTTCAAAATGCCACCTCCTTCCAACTTTCTTCATGTGCAAGAAATGAAATTGCAGTCAAGTCTCTTGCTTAAGGACATCAGCTCTTTATTTCAAACCCAAAGTCAACTTTACTTGTCTCCAAAGACCTGGAGTTACATTCAGTGAAGACTGCTTTCAATACAGCATCCGCAATTTACCAGCAGGTTTCTTATCAAAAAAATAGTTTACCGGACAAATCTCGTAATTGCCTGGGATATAGGAGTAACTCATCACCACTAAAACTGTATAGCGCCCTCTTGAGTTTGTCCTATGTAAGGCCAGTCATGCCGTTATCGACTGTTCTAGAATACCCAGTTGTTGGTCAGAATCCTGTCTGCATATGTGTCATCTTTCCAAGCCTCAATCATAGGTAAGAACCCCGTAACACTGACGACCTCTCTAATTTCCAAGTTATTCCAGAAATATTCTTATAATCGAAATGATATCGCTCATGTGTAGTTTCATGTAAAGATGACCTAAGTTAAGTCCCAAGGTTCAAGGCCAAGGGTCACTGTCGTGCCTTACCGTGTTTTTGGTCCAGCAGCTCCAATTTGACCATGACGTCAGACCGCAGCTTGGCAAATTTGGCTCGTGCTAGCTGACGACACCTCAATATTAACCTTTATAAAAGAGCGAGAGAAAGATTTATTGACAAAAGTAAAGCTTCAAAGGCAGTAAAGTCTGCTTAAAATGAAAGTATTATAATATTTACGTACTATTTTTCCATGCCTCTTTTGTAAGTACAGCCTGGGTTTGAATCTATCCCTGCTGACTAATATGGGCATTTCTTAGTCCTTTTTTTTTAAAGGTTATTAGATAGGAGTAAATCTTTCAATACCAGTCTTTAAAAGATTGTGACCAGAATCCAATAAATGAATAATGAACTTATTGCGCTGTACTTCACAAAACTGATTGTAACCAAAATCGTTTAAATCTCTTACTAAAACAGCTGACTTACAATAGTCTCATTTATTAAATTAGAGAAAAAAAACAAGCTCTGTCAGATCTCGGAAACTGCGGGCCAACGAATTCGTGTTCATGCAGGAGTCACGTGATTGTGCCATGTAATTTCTGTAGGGAGATTTTTGATCCCAGTGACCCCATGATGACCTTTGACCCCAGTTTAGTCATGTGACATGTTGGGGCTGGGCTGCTGATACTTTCGACAAAGTCTGGTTGAATTCTGTCAAAATATGTAGGAGCAATAGACAATTGCAACGTTTGTTGCTAGCAAATCAATGTTTGTTACTAACTAACTAACTAACTAACTAACTAACTAACTAACTAACTAACGGACAGACATGATGATTTGTTGAGCTGCTATCCTGCAGCTAAAACTCTCATTGCTTAATTGAACTTAGACGTGTTGATTTTACCTGTATTCATAGTTGCCCGTTTCAACCCTGTAGAGTGGTTCCCCCAGTGTAGCATAAGCATATTCTTCATCATCCATCTCTTTTACTTTCAAGCAATAGGACTGGAAAGGGGAACAACACACCATAAAAATCAGGGAGAATACACACATTCTATTCAATGAAAAAAATACTTTCAACCCATTCAAAGATGTTCTAAACTTTGTTCTATTGTTCTATTGATTGACAATGATTCCATGTTCAATTACACCCTCAACAGTTTAAAGGATGAAGAACGCCATGAAGGAAGAACCATTGGACATTATCTTGCCTCGTGCACACTGGTATGTACGTTAATTATACAAATGGTAAACAGTGTGTGGGAACCAACAGTGTCCTTTATTTGCTCTCATTATTTAAAGGTGGAGTGGACCATTTGCAGCTATCAAAAAAGTAAGGGACCAAATTATTTTAAAAAGTTTACTTGGTTTAAAGATAGTAATGACACTATTAAAACTCTCTGTGAAATTATTCCTTCTGTCATGCTGTCATTTTGAAGAAAACAACAACAAAAGAAGGTCATTTCCAAAGATATGTCAAGTGACACATTTTGGGAAATTTCCATTTGTGGTTGGTTTGTAAATTGAGCGAATCCGTGAATGGGTGCAAGCGTTGACATGATTCGGTGTGTGACATATCCCTCAGCTACAATCAGCTGCATGGGAATCACGTCCTTAATGCCAATTTTGGGATTGCGTCACAAGACAGCAAAATTCAAAATAGGCATGGCAAATTTTGAACTGAAATCGGGATCCAGACTATTGTGTTTTCTCGAAATATACAGTATTCACAGAGCTAAAAGTTCATCAGGTTAGTTGTTAAGCATCCGTCTTTAGATTTTGAGAACTTTCGTTGCTTCAAATGAAAAAAAAATGCATGAAGGACAAATGGTCTATTCTGCCTTTAAAGCTTTCTTTTGTTCACACATTGAGTCCATTTTCCTACATTATTTTGGAACCTGTAAACATGTATCTGGAACCTGTAAACGCTTTTTAATGAGCGCAATATGTAAGGGAGCAGACTAATGACCAGCCTGGCAGCTCATGCACAATGTCGATGTTGCTGTTTGTTCTAACGTTACTACTGTTTTCTCCGATTTTCGTCTTGACTATCCAAATTTCCCGAAGAATGTCCGCGTCGGTCGAGATTGTATGAAGATGCAGAATTCTCAAGCCTTATGGCCTTACTGAGGTCACCTCAAGCTCCACTCTGAAGGATATTTTTGAGAGTTTTAAGGGGATCAAAGCCTCATCTGGAACATCAGCCGACTTTGAAGAAAAAAAAAGTAGGGGAAAAAAAAAAATGTATCGCCGCACCCCTTTTGGAGCAAGCTCCATACCAGAAACTGGAGACTTTTTTTTTTGCCTTATAGTCCTCTTTGTATTTAATTGACTGACTGGCTGACTGACTGCTTGTGAGTCGGGCAGTGCTATTGTATAGGATTACCATGTTATGTCCCATTCCGTAGACCACAACTAAACACTTCCAGTCAACAGCCATTCCGAATCGAATTGTTTGGCATCTAGGACCAGTTTTACTACACTTGCCTTGTAGTATTTTGTGTCCATGATGTATTTACAATGAGCAAACACACACACAAACTTACCAAATACTCAAACTTGGCATCTGCGTATTTCTTGATGGTGAGGCGGGTGTCTGGAATGGCTTTGGTGAGAAAGGTACCCAAATCGGTCAGCATCTAGAAAAGTCGAGTACATTCAGAACAAAAGGAGTTAATATCATATTGCGTAGGGCTCACAAATTCTACACATAAAGGTGAAAAAAAAAACCAATAATTAAATAAAGCTAATTGAAAGAGTGTAGAAATACATGAAACGTTTTTTCCTTCAATAGATTGTGCACATTAATGTACATTATTCCTTGAATTAACGTTAACATCAGTTAGACGATAATAATAATAACCGAGTTAGATAATAAATTGTCAATGTAGATTCTGAAAATAAAAGTAATTCAAAGGTATTTTAAGTCAATGAAGGGCAAAACCCGGAACTTAAAGTTTCATCAGCAGTCAAAGCTGAACAATTGAGAAAGTGATAAAACTAAGGATAACAAATTTTTTTTTAATAATTAAGTGTGCATATGTGTTTTGCATATGTGTTTTGCTGTAAAAAAAAAAAAGGAATGATTTACATGTACATTCAAGGGCGGACCCAGAGAGGGTGAGGGGGGGGGGCTGGTGTGGAAGGGCTCTCTCAAGTGAAAAATGTCCTTATTTGAGAACATTTCAGTCACTGCTGGGGGGGGGGGGGGCGCCCTGCCCGTACCACCCTGGAAACCCCAATAAAACTTTCTGAACAAAAAACAAGTGCTCCATATGCCCACAAATATTCTTAACTCAAAAAAAGAAGAAAATTTACAGGCTTGACTGTTCTAAGGAGACGGATGCCAAACTTCTCCATGTTCCTGTGAGCGTCTGCAAACACTGTGAATGCCTCGCTAGCCTTTGGCTGGGGCTCCCTGGCACCAATGACGCCGAAGATCTCGCCAAAAGCTACATGTGGGGGAAAAACAATATTCAAAAAGAAGATAAACATGATGAATATTGGATGAAATGCTTTGTCCTCTGCCTTCAAACATGTTTTGCATTGTTGACATGTAAATTACTTTTCAATTTGGTTGAATAGACTTAGGGGCAGTTTTACGGGAAAGGTTGAAAAATGAAAAATTGGAAATACCTTCATAATTTCCCAAGAAAAAAATAGAAAAACATGCAAGTTTTTTTCAACAATTCCCCCCCCCCCTCCCATATTGCAGCAATCTACAAAATTTATTTTTATAGGTTTACGTTAAAAAAATGCAAACTGAGGGAAAATCAGATGAGATCACAAGAAAAACTCGCAAAATGGCTGAACACATCGACTTGTTCCCAAAATACAAACACCAAAGTTCATCATGATCGGACCCACGGTTTTCAAGTTATTCTATTTTAAAGTGAGGCCTCACCATTTTCCGTTAAACAAGTTAATAAAAGAACGTCCTTTCCTGAACATTCTTTTTTACATGCATTAAAAAACTCAGAGGAGATTTCATAATAATCTCCAATGTGAAGCTTTGTGGACTTCTTGTTTGGAGGCAAAAACCTGTTTTGATGGACAGTTAACTCTGATTCATACTTTTCTAATTATCTCAGGGTCCATTCTTTGAAGAAAAAAATCATAAATCATCCCTTCAGACTTTTGGATACCATGGACCCCCATAAGACTTTCTGTGCAACCTTTCCTGAAAACTGCCCTTATTACATTACACTAACTCAATTAATGTAAAAAACTGTCTTGTTAATCATTTAAATGTCTCTTTGTGGTTTTCCTTAGTGAATTTGTTCACTTTCCAATTCTTTAAAAACTGCAATTTCCATATTAACATGTGGAAAACAATATCTAAATTTCAAACTGTTTATCAGCAAACCTTGGAAGTTACCTAGGAAAACAACTAATTTTGTGATTTCGTTATCATTTTTTAAACATTTTTTTTGGGGGGGGGGGATTATTCTCCATCACATATTTTCACCTACCTTTGTGTGTCTGGGAGAGGTCATAGAATGCTTTCAGCATCTTCTTGGCGTGTTCCATCAGGCCCTTGTACATCACCGCTGTCCCCTGAAGCTCGTCCATCTTCTTAATTAACACATCTGCAGCAAGGGCAATACACAAACAAATTTGCATGATTTTTCACTGTTTCTAAGAAAGTATCTCTCGAATTCAAAATTTCAAACACACTATGACTGCTTGACGAACAATCATTATCAAACTCAGAAACAAATATATATAGCCATTAACCTTAACTCCCTCGGCATTTGTGCTAGTACGGTATGCAGCCTCAATCCTGCAAAGTCCTCCAACTTCCTCCACGTAAAAATTGCACACGTCTTCAATCCTCCAAAATCATCCATTATTTCTTGAATGCAAAATCCTCCAGCAATCATGCACTGTCAACATGTTGAGGCAGAGCCAGTGACATCCTGGAGCAGTGCAGAGGATTTCAAGTATAATCTAGGCCTAAATTTAGGCACGGCTGAACATTAACAACACAAGGTCTGGCCCAAGACCTTGACACAGTGCATCCTGCAAAATCAGCCACACGTTTTTGCCATAAAGCCTCAATCCTACAAAATCTTCCATTCTGCAAAAAGGATTTTGGAGGATTTGGGAGGTTAGGGTTAATACGAGTACAAGTACTTTACAACAAGTAACATTTTTTTATTTCTGCAGACCTGGTTCACAGGTTTCAAGAAACGGTTAGCCCAACAATAAAAGATTGAAATTGGGAAAGCTGCTGACCATTGCACAAGATGGCCCGACTGAGACCCAGGGCATCTGCAGTGGAGGAGCTCATGTTCTCTACCATGCGATGCTTGGCCTTCTTCAAGACGATGTCCAGGGACTTGCCCTGCTTGGGGTCGGCGTGCAACTTGTTGTAGTTCATGATCACCTCCGACTGCAATAAGAGTGACGGGGAGACAAAAAATTAACAATATAAGTAGTGTTACATACATTATTAACCCTAACCCTCCTCAAAGACCTCAAATCTCCTAAATCCATCAGGTGTTTTGGGAGGATTTTGGAGGATTTAGGCTGAATGCCTGTTTATTAAGTGTCCATTCACTGATTTTGTAGAATGCACTGTGTCAACGCCTTGCGCTGTAGTGTACCCCCTCCCAATAATTTCTCTCTGTCTGCATTTAAAGCTTCAGTCGGCATATAACCCACCAAATCAAAACACTGAACAAGGACATGTCCCATGGGCATTGCTAATGGAAGGGTCGGGGGGGGGGGGGGGTGTTTCCCACCCCCAATTAAGTGTTTGTCGGCATAAATCGTATGTGTTAGCAAATATGCCATAACGAACAGCGCCACCCATTGTCCGACAGTGTCAAAGATCATTTGCTTTGCTTGAATAGTGCCTCCATTAGTTAGATGGTGTCCAGGGTCTGTTGGCAAATTTGTTGTGGTCCCCCCTCCCCCCCAATTCATATCAGTCTCGCTATGCTACACCCCTGATTAGGGTACATTGGTTGTGCCAGAGCAGCAACATAGGTAAAATGGACCCTGCCACGTCATACCCGGTAGGAAAGCCACATACACACTTGAAATCATACTTGCAGAGATGCCAAGTTTACAGACTACAAATTAGTAATGATTCTTCCTGCAAAGAGTAATGCTAATGTAAATACATCGGACAACAGTCAAGTTTAAGAGTAACCACAGTACTCTTCAGAGTAACCACAATGTTGGCATATAGGACAGCTGGAATTTTCAAGAGTAGTAACATGCCTCAAAATCCTAACAATTACTCCAAAAGAGTAATGGTTGGCATCTCTGTACTTGATGGATTTCAATCGATTGAATACAATTCATAGTGCATGCATGTGGATTTATGCAAGACCAAGCTCAAAGTGTTGAATTGTGTTCAAAGTTTCATGAAAACATTCTTGGCAAATGCTTTCACAGTCGGTCGTCTTGCGACGATCCAAGAATTTCACCTCTCACACCGCAGTAGGAATGCCCCCATCAGTCCTTCTTAATCATTACCTCGAGTTCCGAAAACCAACGCAATAGAACCGAGGTCATATACCATTATTCCACGCTCTGCTGTCCAGGCGGTCGGCCTGCTTTGAACACTCCAATTTTTTTGTCAAAGTAAACGTTTCAGCTGCGCTCGGCACTCTCTCGGAGACCGAGAGGAAGGCCAGGCGGGCAGTGGCGCGCCTTGCAGCGGACCACCAGCATGCACCCAAGATAAACTACGAGCTTTTTAACTCACACCCTGTGAGTGACCACTGATAAAAATAGCTGAAAACAGCTGAAAAAGGTGTAAAAAAGGTGAACTTTGGAAATCTCCTATACTTTTGTACACAGCATGTGAGGGAAAAAAGCTGAAAGCCAAAACAAAAAAAGCTGAAATCAGCTTTATTAAAAGCTGAGATTTCACACCCCTGTTAACTGCAGCAATTTTAATATACGCTATTGGAGCTGGAATTAACGCGGCTGCTGGCACCAGACTTGCCCTCCAATAGATACTCGTTAATCCAGTTCGTTAGTGTGACGTCAGTTCATTCTAAACCACGCCCACTGGCCATTAAGTAGCATTGGAACCATTGCAACCGGAAGTTAACGCAACTTGAGTGCTTATCCAATGGGCGCTAGTAATAAGTGGTGCACGTGCCTGTATGACGTTTTTACTAACGAACCGAATAGGCCACAGAATGTTGTTGTATTCTGGCTAAGCAAAAGGCACAGAGACCCTCACCAGTACCTCTCCATCTGCACTGACAGTTTCTCAAGCACTTGTTTGAATTCCTGCTCACCTTGATGGCCTGTATCATCCGAGCCACCTCCACTTTTGTCCTCCCTTTAACCGACTTTCCATTGACTCCCACAATCTCGTCTCCTGACGCCAGCGTGCCGTCCTTAGATGCTGGGGTATTATCAAACACCTACAGTCAAATCGGGAACAAGAAATCCATTTAATCAATATTCATAAATACCTAAGACAGTTTACGCATTCCTATTGGTCGAGAGCCCGTCACGTGGCCGGTCTTAAACGGATGATAAAGACATGGCTAGCTGGTCTTAAACACTTTTCCAGTGTCACAATAAAATGTGGACTCCTAAAAATACAGTGCCTCTTATCGTTTCATTGGTTGAACGTTCACAATCCTCATGTAGGCATGCGCAACACCACCAGGGAGTCAGAATTTTATAGTTCTAAATTCAAAACGCAACGCGCCAGGTGCGTTCTGCGCGACATCGCGCAGAACATGCTACGCGTGCGTCAATCTCCATAAAAGGGTTGTTTACATCTTACTCTTGGCTGAACACTCCATTATTTTGCAAGAGGGATGTTTCAAAAAGCATAAAGTGAATTTGTTGAACAAAATCGGGATGTTTTGAACGAATTATATGATTTTTTTTTTACTGAAAAGGTATTTATGAATGGGAATAAATATGTGCTCCGTCGGTATTTATCACTCTGTTTAAGACCACTTTGAGTCTGGGTGCTGATAATTACCCTCGCCTCCGGCTCGGGTAATTATCAGCACCCAGACTCTAAGTGGTCTTAAACAGAGTGATAAAAACCTCCGGAGCACACATTTATTCCCTTAATCATTACAGTTACAAGACCATGCTGGCCTAGTTTAGCTGGACCTGAAAGTCTTAGTTTAGGGCATTCAGTCAATAAGGGGGCAAAAGGCTGACCCTTTAGATCAAGGAAATATTATCTATTATTATTTACATCAGGCTTCCAGCAGTAAAAGTAAATCAGCTTATTGTACGCTTTCATAAAAAGTACCCAGATGACTGCCATAATTAAGTACCTGCTTGACTGCAGTCATCCGGGCATTTTCGCTGGTTCCCGCACGATCAAGAGCATAGAAAGTCACAGTTGTCAACCACTCAACCGAGCGTAGCGCGCGCGTACCGTCGAACACGGAACACGCTGCGCACATGCAGCGGCCACATGCAGCGCGCAGAAGGCCAGGTATACGCGCACTGTTGTCAACAATATTACAGTGGCAGCTTAAAATAGTTGACGAAAAAGACGAAATGAGGACAGTGTCTTGAATTGTATTTCTTGCGGATCAAGTCAGCCTGATATAATTATAATAATAATAATACTGGATGGCTTTTTTTCGCTGGATACAAGAATATATTGCACTTGCTATGATAATATTGCACAAGTCGAATAGCTCGTGCAATATATTCTTGTATCCACCTCAAAGCCATCCAATATTATGCAAATATTTCATCCATTATAATTTCTGTACAAATGAGGCAATGGGCAGGTTTTAGAAACAAAAACGTTTCCCCGAGCTTTTCTATCATCAAATAAGAACTATTTAGCCTACCGTGTACATTTTGAAGAAACGATTTCTGTAATGGTTTTGATTTTGAAAGTAAATTCTGAGTAAGACAAACGAGGCAAGCCTAGAAAAGCTGGACCAAGAGTGCGTAAATTCTATTGAATTGAATTGTTTTCATGCATCTGTTCTAGTGATGGGACAAATTGGAGGTTTCAAAATCCTCTGGAGCTGTTTTGGGACAGTTAAAATCGACAAACATATGGTTTTCTAGAATTAAAATAAACAACTTGATTATTTTCTTCCTGTGCCGATATCGTGAAAAAGGAAGTCCCCACTTTTTTTTGTTTTGTTTCGGATATTCAGTTTCAAAATTCTAAATAGTAGAATCAAAACCGGATCACCAACAATTCGGATTTGAGTCCCAGTACTAGTCTGTTCTACACTATGGACCAGCTTTAGCTCACTCATTGGTGCTTCAGGGTAATCCTATACAATAGCACTGCCTGGCTCTTGTTACCAGTCTACAACTACTCTAAGTCACGACAAGTGACGGGGAGTCAGTCAGTCGGGGAGTCAGTCAGCACAAAGAGGACACTAGGCCAGCCCTCTACGCCCAGCAAAAATTATTGCATCCATTTTAATCTCTGTTCAAATATCCCAGAGTTACAAACCAGAAAATAGTTTCCCGTAGATTTCAAAAACAATTTTTCGAAGTGGTTTGAATTATGAACCGTTATTTCCCATTTGAAAGAGTATATTTCCTATTCAATTTTCTGGACTACTCGTTTATAACTTGTGAAACTTTTGAAAGTGTTTTCCATTTGGTGGTTCTTAAGGTCAAGAATGTTGGGCTTTTCAGCCAACTTTGCTGAAAAGCCTTTGTTTTTGTTCTGATTTTTCTTTCTTCTTCTTTTTTTCTTTTTGTTCTATCCCTTTATGTTTGTTAAAACGCATACTGATCATCAGGAAACTTGGTGGGTAGTTAATTAATGTTACTAGTATGGAAAAATTGAAATGATGTCATGATGACGTCATCACCTGATTTTTAAAAAAAAAAAAAAAATTATTTTTTGCTTCTATCAAATTGGACATAAAATGCTCTTTGAACTCTGATGGTACATGAAATTGATCATTTACATGTACACGACTACACATCCATAAAAAAATATTATGTAACTCATAAAATAAGCGGAAAAGCCCTATGTTATGTTCTTAAACAGACACAGACTTTTAATCTGATATCCCCAGAACAACATAATAAAAATGTTATATTGTGGAGGGTACCAACCTGTACAATGTAGAGACAGGGGCATAGCGGGGCACCACCCCCTATGCTGATACCAACCAGGTTCTGCTTGTCTTTGATCAGGCTAACATTCCCCGGAATGGCCTCCATGCCCCTGAAAGAAAACCAAAGGAGAACAAAAATTGACACCTGCACGAAATTTCAACACATGTTTTAACCCTACTTAAAGTCATTTTTGCTAGGATGCAACCTCAATCCTGCAAAATCCTGGAAAAATTGAGTACAGCCTCAATCCTCCAAAAATCATCTGTTATATCTTGAATGCAGTCCTTGGAGGGGTGACCACTGCCTCAATTCTGCAAAATCCTCCGGCAATCACTGTAAGTATGTTGAGGCAGAGCCAGTGACATCCTGGAGCGGTGTGGAGGATTTCAAGTAAACTCTACATTGTAGGCCTAAATTTATGCATGGCTGAGCATAAACAACACAGGGTCCGTCCCAAGACAGCGCATCCTCGACAAGATTTGGGGAGGTTAGGGTTAATATGTGGAGTGCGGTGGCCTGGCCTCGTGATCTGGAGCGTCACAAATTCTGCAGGCTGTGGGTTGGAGTCCAGCCTGGGGTTGTGGTGTGTGTCCTTGGGCATGATACTTTGTCAGTATAAATACATGTACTTCTCTCCAACCAGGAGTAAAAAAGGGAACCTGTGAGTCAGAGATGGTTATTGTACCGGGGTATTTGAATTACATGTGTACCATAGCTGAATGAGAGCCTGATTTCTGATTTAGTGTTTGTGTGTACACAAGAAGATGCAAATCAAACTTTTAAACGGCAAATTCTAAATAAAGAAGCGGAAGCAATGGAATTATCCATTTACGGTACCAGACCCCAAAAAACAACCAAGTTTGTTACCTTTCCAGCATTGAATAATGCCGGTGTAGCGTGAATATCCGACTCCATGAAATGTGGACTCATTGGTAGTACTGCGCACGCGTGAGTACGATACTATGCTATTTTTAGGATCGTTTCGGGCGAGTGACCTGTCACGTGCGAGGGATCAACCAATAATAGGGAAATAGGGGTCCGATTTTCATAGGAGTCGGATTTTCAAGTGACACCGGTACCCATTGAACACCTGGGTTGAGAGGAGTAATTGAGGTAAAGTGCCTTACTCAAGGGCACAACACGCATGGCCACGGCGGGGCTCGAACCCACAACCTCACGATCATGCATCCTGTGCTCTACCGCTAGACCACACGTGTCCATATGTACATGTACATGTGTACATGTTCTTCCTTCACAGAAAGTCAGAAGTTCAAAACAAGGTTTACCTTTTATCATGTTTATATTGGAAATCATCATGTTGTCCATAAAATAAGGAGAGTAAATGGGCATCTCCAATGAAGTCCATTGGGTCGCTGTAAGCCTGTAAGCTGCCCTTCATCAACGGCCCAATCCAAGCCCATAAACCCTATCGACGGCAATCACATTTTTACCCACTTTCGACAGCAACATGCACAAGTCCAAAGTGCTACACAACTGTACTGCTATTAAGCACAATAGGGTAGTGGACTTTGGGTAGTAAAGCCAACAAGCTGACCTGCTTTTATTTGTAAAACTCTATGGTTCAAAGACCTTTTTTTGTATTGTGTTCACGAGTGCAAGTGGCATCTAAAAAAAGGTGTCTCTCAATCATTTTTTCTTTATACTATGGTAGCTTTCAATGTAAAATTAAATGGGGCACTGATGCTTTATCATGCTAACAGACACCAAGATGGTACAATGTACGGTACATGTCATCTGCCCTGGTTCATTGTAATTCAATTGACATATGGAGTGTTTGACTTCATCACACAGGGTGTCCCCCCCCCCCCCAAAAAAAGTGCCCTCTTTTTTTTCAGCTTTTAAAACAAGTGATCCACAGATCTCGTGTGTCGCCTTTTCCTGCAGTCGATCCTATGTTTTGTGTTCCCCTTTTGGAAGAAATTGTAGTCCTAAAAAGGACCGTTTGGTTAACTTCTTAGATGTTTACTGCGCTGCTCTGTCTCTGCCCTCTACTTGGTAGCCTCTTTCACGGCTGCAAATTTCGGCCTGTGTTCTTATTGCGGCAGTCAAATATCAAGATGCCACGGACTTTCAAAAAAGCGACCCTTTTTTTCAATTGGCCATAACTCAATAAATATTTTTTTCCGATTGGAAACACTTTTTGGTTGTTGAAAAGCTAATGAACTGCACTCTTCAGATATGTAACAATATTTGCGATGCATTTTTTAAAAGCTGTGAAAAAGCGGGCACTTTGATGGTTCTTTTTTTTGGGGGGGGGGACACCCTGTATGTGTCTGTTATGCCAACTATACCCTCAGTCACTTCTTTGATTTAAAGCTACAGTCCATCATTTGCAGCTATCCAAAAATAACTGACGTAATTATTGTTGAAAAACATACTTGGTTGAAAGATAGTAAGGGGAATAAACTCCCTGTGAAATTATTCCTTCTGGCAAGCTGTCATTTTGAAGAAATCAATGAAAGAAGGCCTTTCCGAACGGTGCGTCTAAAGACGCATCATTGGAAATTTCAGTTAGTAGTTCGTTTGTGTATTCGGCGAAGAGCGCGCAAGCGTTGACATGACGCACACCCGCGCGCGGTTGCTACGATTCGTCGGATCAGTGCGAGGCATCGCATAGCTGCAATAGCTGCAATCGGCTCAGTGAGAACGTGTCTCGGAAGCTGAATTCAGGCCCAATTCAAAACATGATTCGGCAACTTTTGATTTGAAATTGAGATCCCAGAATGTTGTTTTCGCCGAATACACAGCTGAAGCTGAGCTGAACCTTCATCAGTTTAGTTATTCATCACTCTTCTTTAGATTTTGAGCACGTTAGTTGCTTCAAACGAAGAAAATGCACAAATTACAAATGATGGACTGTACCTTTAAGACGATCCCAACTTAAATTGGGCTGGCCCAACTACAGCTTAGATGACGCTACTCCATGCTCACACTTGGCACGCAAATTTACGAACTAAGCCATATCGTGTGTACATCATGTACACATCGGTCACATGCGTTCCAAAGTGCCAGAGAAACTTAATTGGGCCCAATTGGGCTGCAAAACGCGCTTTGAACGAGATGATGTTAATCAGAAATACCATTTAAAAATAAACATCCACACAACTATCCTTTCAAAACTGGGCGTTTTTGTGTTATTCCTGAATTATGCTTGCCAGAGGCAGGGTCCACTTTTGCGACCCCATAAATTCGAGCTGTTTGGGGGCTAGTTGTGATTTCATTCATAAAGTGTTCGCCTTTTGCCGACGTTGAAGAAACCACTTTTTTTTTTCATAATTGGTGATTCATCACCGCTGTTCCGGAGACACACAATGAGTACATGTATATCATACACTGAAAGCAACACGAAAACGTATTCGTACTCCGTCATGTCCCCTGTAAACAAGCGGGTTTTTCTGCCTTTTCTCGGGAATGGTAAGACATTAGGTTGGTTTCCTTTCAACCAGATGTTTGAAATAGGCTAAGTAAACAATCCAAAACATAAAATTTGGGGGGATTTCAGGACCTAGTGCCCCTTTAACACATTCTGTGCAACTTTCTACTCCTCTTAAAAAACTATTTGACGTCCCTTTGTGGTTAAGTTTATTGAAAAGTGCACTTCTTTAAACACTGAGGGCACTGATGTTTTGATGTCACTTCAGGAAGACACTGTTCAGTACTTTAAGGGTTTTCTGTTCCTAATTGTGAACCAAAAAAATTGTTTGTTGAAAACAATTGTAAGAAAAAATTGCTCGCTGGCTTACTGCCATGGTACTGACACTGACGAGTTTGTTACCTTTCCAGCATTGAATAATGCCGGTACCCATTTAACACCAGGGTTGAAAGGAGTAACTGAGGTAAAGCGCCTTACTCAAGGGCACAACACGCATGGCCATGGCGGGGCTCGAACCCACAACCTCACGATCATGCATCCTGTGCTCTACCGCTAGACCACACGTGGCCATATGTACATGTACATGTACATGTTCTTCCTTCACAGAAAGTAAGAAGTTCAAAACAAGGTTTACCTTTCATCATGTTTATAGTGGAAATCATCACATTGTCCATAAACTAAGGAGAGTAAATGGTCATCTCCAATGAAGTCCATTGGGTCGCTGTAAGCCTGTAAGCTGCCCTTCATCAACGGCCCAATCCAAGCCCATAAACCCTATCGACGGCAATCACCTTTTTACACCACTTTCGACAGCAACATGCACAAGTCGAAAGTGCTACAAAACTGTACTGTTATCAAGCATAGTAGGGTAGTGGACTTTACAACCATCGAGCGTGACTTTTGGGTAGTAAAGTCAACAAGCCGACCTGCTTTTAATTGTAAAACTCTATGGTTCAAAGACCCTTTTTTGTATCAATTGTGTTCACGAGTGCAAGTGGCATCTGAAAAAAGGTTTGTCTCAAACAATTTTTCTTTACAGTATGGTAGCTTTCAATATTAAGTTCCAAGGTTAATGAAGCATGGGGCATTTATTATGCTAACAGACACCAAGATGGCATGTACAAAGTACGGTTCATGCCATCTGCCCTGGTTCATTGTAATTCAATTGGCATATGGAGTGTTTGACTTCATCATATATAAAGATATATACATGTATCTTTATATCTTTATTAACAACCCTGGTTAGGCAAACAATATGATTTATAAAATCAACTTTTTTTTAAAGACGGGCCTTCAGAGGGACTTTGTTGAATATTTTTAACTTTTAAACTGAGGTTTTATCGCTGGTGATATTTAACGACAACTATGACGACGATTCTTGAAATCGAATTTTTGGACATGTACCGGTACGTCTAGGGGTGTGCATTTACAGTAGTACAGGAATCCGGAAACTGATTCAAATAACATGGGTACCGGGTATCCATTAAAGAACCCAACCCAAAAATTCAAATCTCAGAAGTTGCTGTTCAGATTGTGCGTAAAGGTCTGCAAAACTGCAACTTTCGCAATGTTTTTCATTTTACAATTTTCCCACTGATGACATTCGAAACCTTTCTCTTTCATTGTCTGAGAAGTTACGGTGTATTTTGTAGAGTTGGTTACGGGTACCGATCTCATAATCTGGAACCGGTTCCTGACATCAACGGTCGGGTACT